ATTTCATGCATTTTAGGTCCTTAGGGTTTGTTTTAGAACTTAGGAGATGCATTAGGTCCCAATGAGTCTTTGCATGTTTTGAGTGTTTATCAGGTGCATTTGGAGATATTTGGAGCTGGAAAGATGAATCCAGGAAGTGGAATGGTGGTCAAGGCTTGAAAAATGGTGAAATTGGGTTTTTGGAGGTTATCGGCCATTCTCGCGCACCAGGAATGTTTTTCTCGGCCAAAACGCATACCGCGGGGGGATTTTATCGGCCATTCTCACGTACCGCGAGTGGATTGTATCGGCCAAAATCTCTGGGTGCAGACACGATTCCGAAATCGCCTGTCCGGGGAACCTTCCGGTCCGATTCAGTTGGCGGGTGCTTCATCAAAGTTGGATAGGATTGGATCACGGTTCCAGAGCAAGTGGAATCATTCAATTCGGACGCGTGAGCAGAAAGTTAAGCTCGTCGGAAGAAACTCCTGTTGTGCTGCCGTTTTGGACTAAGCCGATGAGCTCCGAAGAATGCAAAGGACGGTGCACTTCCAAGCCGATTCAGTTTCCGGGCCTTCATGATAATCAGAGACATTCGAGTCCTCTTTCCATAACGTCCGAGATCATTCAATTCGGAGCTATGAGGAGGACGATACGGTCTCCGGAATGGACACATGTCTAGACGCTTCTCTCTGATCGTGTAAATGCACTGCAAAGACGAGCCCTCCAGGAAGCCTTCCACTTTCCAATAACCGAAGCTTCCTTCACAAAAGTTGGAGATATATGAGTCTTCTGTCCTCTGAAACTGGAATCACACAATTCAGACCAATATCCTGGAAGTTACGCCTCCCGGAATGCAAAGTGGTCCAAGCTGCTCTGAATGCTGCGAGATAGTCTTGCGACTTGGTTAACTCGCAGGCCTGAAGATGAAGGCCTGGAAATTGATGCTGCGAGTTGAGAAGTGCGGGTAAGCTATAAATGGATGAGGTCTGAGGCTCCCGAGCAAGAAAATTGTTAAGTCCACGATCGTGCGACTTAGGCATGCGAGTTGGCCGCGCCTGGAACCAAGCCGCACGATCACTCGCAATCTACTCCGACTTGAGCCTGCGACCTGTGTGTAATGGAGACCAACCCGCACGGTTTGTACATTCCCCAGAAACCGCCTTGGTCCTGCGAGTTGAAGAAGAAGAAGATTAAGCCGCAGCAAGACTCGCAAAACACTCCTACTTGGACGTGCGGCTAAGACAACGCGATTTAAGTCTCACAAGACAAGTTCTTCATCTACTGCGACTTGGGCATGCTACCTGGGAGACACTGGACCAACCCGCAGGATTTCCACTTTACCCACTAAAGCCGGATCAGGACCCGGTTTGTTCCGGGCTGACCCGGTTCGTTTTTAGAGAGATATAAATACTTTTTAGGGTTTTTTCCTAGAGAACTAAGCTTTATTCCTTTTGTCTCTTGCCTCTTTTGTGAAAAAGACTCCACTAAGAAGAGAAATATCGATTATTGAGTGTTTAATCAAGAGAGTTTAAGAGATCTTTGTGTTTAAAGCTGTTTTCTTTGGAATCTATCATCTATCTCTTCATCTATACACTTCTAATCATGATTAACAACACATCTTGCAAAGGATCTAGTGTGTTGATCATGATTAGTGAGTAATCTCCATATTAAGGTCTTAGATATGCAGATTATGGTGCTTAAGTGGTAGATTAGTGAGCTTAGGGGTTAGATCATGCATATTCCATTCTCTACAACTTGTTCTCTATGCTAGATCCATACAAATCATATGTGGTCTAGATTCTGGGCATTTCATGCACCAAAAGTGTTTGATGAAATGCCTGAACCAAGGTTGTTAGAGGTTTAAGTGTTATTCATCATGGGAATGATTGTCTATATGCTTAAATGACAGATTAAACTGATTCTTAATGCTTGTTAACTCATGTTTCACTGATGATGATTGGGTTATAAACTGTTTTAGCATAGGAGTTAATACCTTCATGAGAGGATTAACTTAATTAAAGATGTTTATGTTGAATGGTTTGCTTGATCATATGATTCATTAGCTCATTAGTTTATCACTGAAGGCACCCTAATCCACTATCATGTCTAAGACCTTTCTCATCATCGTTCATACATTCTCATCATTTGTCATTGTTTAGTTCTTGTTTAATTATTTCATTAGTCTTTAATCCTGTTTAAGTTTGTAGTTGTCTCTAGTTAACCAAACCACTCTTGTTTGCTTGAATTAAGAACCTGATTATATAGCTTAGTGTCTATCACCGCATTCTTGAATTGATAAACCCCTTGTACTACAAGACAGGGGATTGATAACCTCTACAAAGAGCCTTGAAAACTCTTAGTTATCAATTGGCGCCGTTGCCAAATTGTGGTTTGTTTAGCATTAAGCTCTGATCTGTTCTTTAGATCAAGTGCTTATTTTCTTGCTTTTACTGATTACTTTCAAGTTCTGTTTGTGATTTCAGGTGTTTGAACACCAGGTCTAGATCAAGAAGCTGTGGTCCACCTTTCCCTCTCAACGACAATATCAATCTTTTGGTACCAAGGAGGAGAAGGGACAGACGTGGAAGACAGGTTGATCAGGCTGATATGGAAGAACAAAGAGAGCACGTGGTAGATATAGAACAACCGGTTCAGGAGCAACAGGCTCAGGGTAATGGAGCTGGTAATGGAGTTGGTCAAGGGTTAAATCAGGGTAATGTTCATCAGGAACATGTGCATCACCAACAAGCTTATGTCCACCAGGGACAAGCTCCAGCTCATCAACAAAGGCATCAGGCCAATGTACAGCAAAGACAACAGGTGCACCACCAACCCCAGCCCTTCCAACACAACCAAAGAAGATATGAGCAACCCCAAGTCTATGTTGGAGAGAATGACAGGGCCAATGCTCATCAGTATGGAGCTGGAATTCAGGCACCACCTGTGCAAAACAACAACTTTGAAGTGAAGGCATCATTGCTGAATATGGTCAAGAACTCAAAGTTCCATGGATTAGCAATGGAAGATCCCTTGGAACACTTGGATCAATTTGATAAGGTGTGTGACCTGACTAAGATTAATGGAGTTTCAGAAGACAGCTTCAAGCTAAGACTATTCCCATTCAGTCTTGGTGACAAAGCTCACTGTGTGAGCCAAAACTCGCACAACCAGAAATTTGTTTAAGGAAAACTAAGGGATCGGAAACTTCTAGGGTTTATCGTCAAGAACAGTAAGATCGAAAGGAAGTTTTTCTTGCTGTAAAAGTGTTTAGCTCTTATTGCTTAGGGTTGCAAAAGTTACAGAATGAATTGTATACATCATCTATTTATACTAATTCTCCGAACCGCCTAGCCGAGAATCTCGGGAGAGATTTTCGGAATATTTCCTTATCGCCTCGTGCGGCTCACCGCCTTTGTACTTCGCCTAGGGTTTCTATGGACTTCGTCTCTCAAGGCTTTGGTTCGACCCATCTGAACTTCTCCACGGCTCAGCCCATCTAAACTTCTCCACGGCTCGGCCCATCTAAACTTCTCCACGGCTCGGCCCACTTGCCATTTGAGTCGAGACGTGATTTGGTTCACCTCACCGAGGCGCGGCTCGGCCCAAGCGTGTTGAAGTGCGGCTCGGCCCATTTCTTACGATACAGCTCGGCCCATCTATCTTTTTTCATGGCTCTCCCCATTGGTCTATCTTCACGGCTCTCCCACTTGGTGACAGCGGCTCTCCCACTTGTCTTGGTGAGCACGGCTCTCCCACTCGTCTTGGTGAGCACGGCTCTCCCACTTGTCTTGGTGAGCACGGCTCGGCTACTTTGTCTTGGTGAGCACGGCTCGGCTACTTTGTCTTGGTGAGCACGGCTCGGCTACTTTGTCTTTCTTCCATACTTAGTCATTTTGAGATGGTTTTATCTGCTTGGGGTGAAAACCGACCCCAACAGTTAGCCCCCTAGCTCGTCAGTTTTGGAGGCGAGAGTGACGAGGTCCATTACTCCTGACCGTAAGATAAACCATCGAGTCAAGCTGTTATGACATAAGCCTAGATGAGGTGTTTTGGGAATGAAGACGCCGAGGCGTTCCCAAGGAGTGCCGAGGGTGCCGAGGTGTTTCGAGAGTAACGCAAGCTTCCCGAGGACAAACTGAGTTCTGCATGTTGTTGAAGACGCCGAGGCATTCCCAAGCAGTGCCGAGGGTGCCGAGGTGTTTCGAGAGGGTACCGAAGATGCCGAGGCAAGTTAAGAGCGAGGCGATTTCGTTTAGTAATGATGAGCCGTGACGAGGCGATTTGAGAAGGTTATGCCGAGCCGAATAAATGGCGAGGTGTTTCGAGAGAAAGTTTGTGCAGAGCCGTTTCATTAACGACGAGGCGTTTCAAGAGAATTAATGCCGAGCCGTTTCGTTAACGACGAGGTGTTTCAAGAGAGAGTCAATGCCAAGCCGTTTCGTTAACGACGAGGCGTTTCAAGAGAGAATTAATGCCGAGCCGTTTCGTTAACGACGAGGCGTTTCAAGAGAGAGTCAATGCCGAGCCGTTTCGTTAACGACGAGGCGTTTCAAGAGAGAATTAATGCCGAGCCATTTCGTTAACGACGAGGCATTTCAAGAGAGAGTCAATGCCGAGCCGTTTCGTTAACGACGAGGCGTTTACTTTGGTAAGATACCGGCTGAAAACTTGGGTATCCCAACTGTTGGTCTTCCGAGAGAAACTTCCTGATCTATTGGCGCGTGTGACCGACGCAGTTCGCTCTAGCCATTTCACCGCGGATTCCACGCGCTGTTTGGACGGTTTCCCGAGGTTTACACGGAATTCATGCGCTTCGGTTTTCCTATAAATGGGTGAGCTCCTTCATTCTTCCTCATTATCTTCAGACTCACTCGTTTTTACTAAAGGTAGCTCTCCCTTCTTTCTCTCTCTAGTTTATTTATTTTCCGGATAGGGTTTCCGAGGTCTCCGCCGTTCCAGATCTTTTTCCGGCAGAGGCTCGCCAAGTCGTGCTGTAACTCTTGTACAAGTCGTAAATTATGTCGAACCGCTCTGACGATTCGTTGGATTCACTTTTTCATTACGAGCCGAGCTGCATAGATGCCGAGGCGAGAGGTACGACAGAATCCTCCGAGGCGTCTGTTTCACCGAGCTCTTCCAATCGTTCATCTGACGAGACGTCAAATCATGCAAATCCGTCAGATGTCGGCTCTCCGGGTGACGAGCCGTTGGTTTCGACGAGCCGTCCCCAGGACCCTGTTCCTGATGAGGACATTAATCGCGCCGCACTTAAAGCCGAGGAGGAGGCATTTCCCTTTGACCTTTTCGAGGCGAAGCGTGAATTGGAACGTCTCATGGCGTCCCAAGGCGCTTCCACATCTGGGCGAGGGCCACGAGTTAAGAGATGAAAACCTGACCCGCCTGGCTCTACGCTTTACTCTCTTGAGTCGCTCGAGGCGTTGAGGCATCGCTTTGGGATATCCGAGGCGGTGGAGTTCGTCGTTCCAGAGAAGAGCGACCGAGCCGACAAGCCTCCAGAGAATCACTTCACTCTATACGAGGCGTTCTTCGAGCTTTGCTTTCTCTGGTTCCCGATTCCCGGAGTGATCCTTGAATATCTCTGGAAACACGGGATCTTGATTGGGCAGATTATGCCGAGGGGATTACGGCATATGATTGGCATTTTAGTTCGAAGCTTCGAATGCGGACTTGATATCGAGCTGAATCACCTGCTGAACTTGCTGGAAATCAGGAAAACTCCGAAAGGAAACAGATTCTGTATTTCCAACAAGGCGAAGCGGCAGATCATAGGCGGTTTTCCCAGCAAGGATCAGTTTTGGACTGAACGCTTCTTCTACATCTTGGTGAACGAGGCGTCGGTCGGCGAGAATTACGTTCAAAGAACCAAGACCACTTGGGGACTACTTGGTAGCCGGCCCGAAGCTTTACCTCGGCTCGGAACTGTTTTTTGGTATCCTCTTCCCTTACTGAAAATTGTTTTTTTTTGCTTTGTTTTGCAGTTCGGTGCTTTCTTCCCCCGATCCCCGACGACCTCTTTGTTGTTCGAGACTCTCTTTCGGCTCGGAAGGTCAATTGGAGGAAGAATTTCACCCTCAAGAGAGTAGAGAAAGCCCGAGTTATCCTTGCCGGAGTCCCTGTCAGTTCTTCATATTCCAGCTCCACAAGGGATACACGAGAGAAAATGGTGATAATCGCTCTGAGAGATAGGAAGAGGCGCGAAGAAGAGGCGGCCGCGAGACGAGCTGCCGAGGCGGCTCAAGCGCAGACCGAGGCGGTTCCAGCGCAAACCAAGGCCATCCCTCAACCCGACCCGCCGAGCCGGGAAGGAGATGCAGCGCCCGAGGTGGAACCGGGCAAAATTATTCCCGAGGTGTCTGGCGATGATTCGGCGGTGCGGAGCAAAACTCCTTCGAACTCCGCCATTTTAGCCCTCCCGAGGTCGACGAGGCCCCCAACTTCAGTTGTTCAGAAACATGACCCGAGCCGAAAACGTTCGGCCGCTGACAAGAGGAAAGACGTTGCTGTTCAGAAGGACGAGCCATCCAAGAAGAGGCGGAAGCCGATGCCCGGGGACCCCACCGTGCGCAAGTTGGTCGTTGACGACCCCGACGCCTCTGCCGTCATGTTCTCGCGTGTAAATAACGCGAACTCGCGTTTTCCTCCTCCGGAGAAGCTGAGGAGGTCGAGGTTGTACAGCGCGATGGCACAGCGCGGTACCAAGGTACGCTCTATTTGCTTTCCTTTATTTTCGCAAATTTTTACTAAGTGTTTAACGCGAGTTTGTTCTTTGCAGTTTATCGCGGCCATTAAGGACCTGATGACCGAGTACGAGGCGGACCTGTCTAAGGTCGAACATCGCTTGGACGAGGCCCGAAATGAGACCGCGGCGTCAAGGGCAAAGTTGGAAGAGGCTCAGAACGAAGCTGCGGCGGCAAAGGGGAAATTTGACGAGGCGATGTCCAGAGTGTCGAGGTTGGAAGAGGAGAAGATAGTTCTCTGCGCCGACGTTGACAAAGTTTCCGCCTCGGTGATTCGCCTGGAGGAAGCAAGGAGAGCCAAAAGCGCCGAGGTGGCATTGCTTAAAAGGCGTCTTGAGGCCAAGGATGCTCTGTTCGAAGCCAAGGTCAAACGTGCGAAGAAGGAGGCGAGGCGAGACCTGACTGCTAAGTTTCAGGAGCGCCTCACCAAAGTAGAGGAGGGTCTGGCTAAGCTCGAGAAGGCCAAGAACGACGAGAACGATCTGGGGCAAATCAAGGGCAACCTTGCGATGATTGCCGTCCTGAAGAAACCAGACGCTCCAACGCTCGATGATGAGGAGGCGCAGCTAAAGAGCTGGGAGAGCGAATACGCCGACGACGACGCGTATGAGCGCATCGCCTCCGAGATTCGAGGCGAGCTGGTTTTCTCGCCCGTATCGCCGGACTCGGTCGACACCAGCCTTGATAACGAGCCGCTCGAAGAGACAGCGGCCAACTTAGGCGTCGTAGATCTGAACGGATCGAACGCGGGTACGCCGGTCCTCTCGAACCTCCTTGCCGAGCGTGAAACACGGTCCACGGCCTGATACTCTCTGCTTTCTCCTATTTTGTCTCACGTGCTTCTGTACTTAGGATTTTTTTCTGCTTTTCGAACTTTTTATGTAACCGGTGCCTGGACGGCTTTATCCACCTGACATTTATTTTTGCTTTATGGATATATTTTATTTTTCGTAGCCGTTTTCGGATTTACTTGTCTAACGATCCGTGAAAATGTTTACGAAAACTGTTGGCTTAGAAAAATTGTCAAGGATGAAAACTGTGTGTCGAGAATGATTTTGATTGCTTCCTTAGCCGAACTTTTCGAAATTGATAGAAATACGGGCTAAGGAGTGAGTTGTGTTAAGGATCTCATTTGGACTCTTAATCCCGAGCTGTGAGTTAGTTTTGTGGAGCATCTTTTGGGTGATGCTGGAAATTTTTTTTTTAAATGATAATGTCGAGGCAAATTTCCGCTGGCAATGCCGAGCCGTATTTAACGACGAGGCGTTTTCGCTGTGCATAATGCCGAGCCGTGTAAACGACGAGGCGTTTTTTGCTGTGCATGGTGCCGAGCCGTGTAAATGACGAGGCGTTTTCTCTTTGCGTGGTGCCGAGCCGTGTAAACGACGAGGCGTTTTTGCTTTGCATGGTGCCGAGCCGTGAAAACGACGAGGCGTTTTGTTTTGTTAGCCAAGGATGATTTGGTAGTCTCATTGAGTTTGACTATGGACCGGCATTTCCGAGAGGATGAGTATGTTTGTCCGGGTTTTAAAGTTTACTTCGGTTTTAGAGAAAGCGATGTAGTCTCGACTTATAATCTCGTGTGAGATAGTACACCGTGGCGACCTGATACGTTTTTGGTCTGATATTTGTATAGCGCGCTTAATTTTTATCCGTAGAGGATGTAACTTGCACCCTCGTCCTAGGAAAGGTGGTAAAAGTCCGTTTAGAGAACTTTGTATTTGTTGCCCCGTTGTGGCCAGCAACGAGACGAGGCGTTCGGAGGCTTAGTTTGCCGAACTGAGACTGAGGACCAATAAAGGTCCGAGGTAATGATATCATGCCGAAGTGGTATGATTACTCGCCAAAGTGATGAGTGAAAGAATTTAAAAATTCGAGCTTGTTAAAATAAGTTGTCGATTTAAAAAGAATGAGAAACTAGCCGAAGCGATAATGAATGAACTAGAAATCCGAGGTAAACATGAAATAAGTAGATGATTCAAAACGAGCTGAAAATGGGCCGAAGTGGCTATGTTCCTAAGATGGTAAGCTAAAATTGTAGAGTTTAAAGGAGGTATGTGTATACGTACCCACTCCCCCCCCCCTTTTTAGGAGGGGGACAGCTGAACCCGTCCGAGGACGGGCTGCCTACGTACCCTTTGCAGGGATCAAGCCGTCCCGTAGTTCATGCTGGCCGTGCTGTAGCTTTAGTGATAATACTTCTTTAGATGCATTGCGTTCCACGACCTTGGAATCGCGTCGTCCGCTAGCGTCGCGAGTTCGTAGACTCCTGGACGAACTTTTGGACGGCTTTCCTGCGTTCTTCTCGGCAGTGTTTTGGAAGACGTTTCGGAGGACGAGCACCCCTTCTTTGAATCTTCGACTACGAACGTTTTTGTTGTAGTATCTCGCCGTTGCTTGTTGATAGTTCTGGATTTGGATTAAGGCTTGGTCGCGCTTTTCGTTGATTAGATCGAGCTCATCTAGCATCATTAAGTGGTTCAAGCCCTCCTGTCCTGGTAGAAGTCTTCGTCGAATACCTGGGAAATCCACCTCGGAGGGGATTACGCACTCTGTTCCGTAGACCAAGGCGAATGGAGTTTCCCCGGTGGCTCGGCACGGAGTTGTCCGATGAGACCAAAGGACTCCTTCGAGTTCGTCTGCCCACCGTCCTTTCTTGGCGTCGAGCCTCTTTTTCAGACCGTCGAGGATCGTCTTGTTGGCTGCTTCGGCTTGCCCGTTCCCTTGAGGGTATCTTGGCGTAGATTGCTTAGACGGATTTTTCACTTCTCGCAGAAAGCTTCAAAGCGTGTTGAAATGAACTGGGATCCGTTGTCGGTGACTATCTCGTAGGGGACCCCGTGTTTGCAGATGATATTTTTCCAGACGAAGTGTTCGACTTGAACATCCTTTATGCTTGCGTAGGAATCGGCTTCGACCCACTTGGAGAAGTAATCCGTGAGGACGAGCAGAAAACGCTTCTGCTTCGAGCAATGTAGAGGTCCGACGATGTCCATCGACCATCTCATGAACGGATAAGGTGACGAAATTGACGAGAGCAACTCGGTAGGTTGATGAATTGTTGGAGCGTGCCGCTGACACTTCTCGCACTTTGCCGTAAATTTCTCGCAGTCCTTGACCATCGTGGGCCAGAAGTAGCCGTGCCGTTTTATCTTGATAGCGAGCGACCTTCCGCTGGAATGGTTCTGGCACGCGCCGCTGTGCACCTCGTGCTTGATCTTTCTTGCCTCCGATCCTTCGACGCATGTCATGAGAGGCCCTGAAAATCTTCATTTAAACACCTCGCCATCGACGAGGACATACCGCGCGGCATGAGCTTTTAGTTTGCGGGCTTCCCATTGGTCAGTTGGAACCTCTCCATCGGCGATATACACTCGGATAGCTCCGAGCCATTCTTTGTCGCAGCCGTATTCCGGCTCGGCTGGTGAGGTGTCTTCGTCCATAGGAATGGCTTCGTCGTCCTCCGGTTCTTGTTCCACCTCTTCGATGCTAGGACGTTTGATGAATTCGACTGGGATCTTCCGTCGGAGGTCTGGGTCCGAGGTCGAAGCGAGTGCTGCGAAGGCGTCGGCCGAGGTGTTTTCTCCTCGGGGGATTCGCGTGAGTTCGAACTCGTCGAACTTTTGCACCAATTCTCGGACCACCTTGAGATAAGCTCCCATTCGTCCATCCTTCGCCTCATATTTTCCGTTGAACTGGCATGCTACGAGCTGTGAATCACAAAAAGTCCTTATCTTTCGAACCCCGATTCCCTGCGCTTGTCATACGCCGGCGATCAGTGATTCGTATTCTGCTTCATTGTTCGAAGCGTGGAAGTTCAGGCGAAAAGACTGCTCCAATATTTCTCCGGTGGGAGAGGTGAGACGGATTCCTATCCCCGAGCCATGTTTAGACGACGAGCCATCGACGTGCAGCATCCATACTTCGTCTAGAGTCGGCTCGTTTGGTGCTTCGGCTGGAAGTTCAATGAGAAAATCTGCGAGCACCTGTGACTTTGCGGACGACCTGTTCCGATACTCGATGTCGTACTCGCTTAGCTCTATGGCCCACTTGGCGAGCCGACCGGATTGGCTCGGGCTGTGTAGGATCGAGCGCAGCGGAAGTGTAGCGAGCACAACAATCGAATGTGATTGAAAGTACGGTCGCAGTTTGCGGGCCGAGACTACGACGGCTAGGGCGACCTTCTCGATCTGGGGGTAGCGGGTCTCGGCGTCGGTCAGTGTCTGGCTGATGTAGAAAATGGGTTTTTGCTCGGATCGTTCTTCTCTGATAAGCACTCCGCTTACAGCTGTAGCAGATACTGCGATGTAGAGGAATAGCGGCTCTCGTTCGACTGGTTTTGCTAAGATCGGTGGGCTCGCCAGATAATTCTTCAATTCCTGGAAAGCTGCTTCGCATCGCTCGTCCCACTCAAATTTCTTGTTTCCTCGGAGGGTGTCGTAGAAGGGCAGGCACTTGTCTGTGGAGCGGGAAATAAACCTGTTTAGTGCGGCGACTCTTCCTGTGAGCCTTTGCACTTCGCGCTTCGTCCTTGGAGAGGGCATATCAATCAATGCCTTGATCTGCTTGGGGTCTGCTTCTATGCCTCGGTGAGTTACCAGATAGCCGAGGAATTCTCCCGAGGTGACAGCGAATCTGCACTTCGCCGGGTTTAATTTCATGTTGTGCTTGTTCAGTTGCTCGAAGCATTCCCGTAGATGTGCGGCGTGGTCTTCCTCCTTGAGTGATTTGACTAACATGTCGTCGATGTATACTTCCATGGTTTTTCCGAGCTGAGCCGCGATCATTTTGTTGACGAGCCGTTGATACGTTGCTCCTGCGTTCTTGAGCCCGAACGGCATGACTTTGTAGCAGTATATCCTGCGATCAGTTATGAATGCCGTTTTTTCTCGATCATCAGGGTGCATCAGAATCTGATTGTAGCCAGAGAACGCGTCCATAAATGTTTTGTGACGCTAAGCAATGGGAAAAGAATCTTCCAAGAGGCTCCATTCAAACCTGGGAGAAATGCAAGCAAGCTTTCCTATCTAAGTTCTTCTCCACCTCAAGAACTGCAAAACTGAAGAACCAAATCTCTAGCTTCACTCAGCACAGCAATGAGAGCTTTGGTGAAGCATATGAGAGATTCAGGAGCTACACAAACCAATGCCCACACCATGGGTTTAGTGAGGCTTCCCTTCTCAGCACACTATATAGAGGAGCTCTTCCCAAGATTAGAAACCAGCTGGATACTGCTTCTAATAGGAACTTTCTGGGAAAAGAGATACATGCTGCTTTAGAGCTAGTGGAGAACTTAGCACTGAGCAATGATACTTATGATGAAGACTATGACAGATCAAATAGGTCTGAAGGTTCAAGCTCAGAACAAAGGCTCACTAGGGAAGTTAAGGAGTTGAGAAGTGAATTGGACAAGCTGAAATTCATCACTCAGAAGCCAATGCATTTTGTTGGAGAGTATGAGGAACCTTCTCAAATCTTTGAGAACATAAGTGAAGAAGGTCTTACCCAGGAGGAGCTAAACTACATTGGGAATCAGAGGTTCCAGAGATATCAGTATGGTAATGCCAATCCAAACCTTTCTTACAGGAACACCAATGTAGCTAACCCACAAGACCAGGTGTATCCCAATTCTCAAGCTCCAAAGAACTTTGTTCCCAAGATTAACTTTCAAGGGTCTTTTCAACCAAAGAATCAGTTTTCTCAGAATCAAGGTTTTGGTCAGCAACAGCAATCTTTTCAAGGTCCTAGTTTCAGTACACAGCAGCAAAAGGCACCACCATGGTTTGGTCCGCCTCAGTTCCAACAG